TATGGTCGGTAAGTGAGGGGGGGAGAAAAATATGTAAGAAAAGAGCTACACTGCAGTCCCCAAGGGGAAGACACTTTCCAAGGCTGGGATGGTAATTGAGGGGGATGTGCTCGTACTCTCTAAGCATCTTCTTTACTAATCAGTGAAGGGAGAAACCCAGCTTGCAAATCCCACTTAATTGTTTGCATATGTTCTGCAAGCACTCCATTTATGGCAGTGTGCTGCAGCCAAAGGCTCTTCATAATGTCAGTTGGTAAACACAGGGTATATGGGCCTGTTTGGAAGTAACTAAAATGAACAATTTGATCATCATTCTAAGGATCCAATTATGAGTCCAAAGGAAACCATCCTAGCATTTTCATTGCTTCCCTCTGAATCCTAAGATTCATTAAGATAATGATCTAAGATAATAACTCAAATATCCAAAACATGAGATGTTTATTATTTAGTCATACTCCTTTTTCTTAAAAGAGCAAGTTTCCTCAGCAGTGACTCTTTTCACATTTTGAGCTAGATTATTTCTTTTGTTGTTGTAGGGAGCTGTCCTGTGCATTATAACAGCATCTCTGCCTGGTAGCTACCCAATAGATAACAGTAGCCCCCTCTCCCTCAGTTGTGACATCCAACAATGTCTCCAGACTTTGCCAGATGTCCCCTGGGGAGGATAATTACCACCAGTTGAGAACTACTGGGACAGATGATGTAGTCACAATTGGGCTGATCTAGACAGTGATTTTGAACAAAAGTGGGGCAGAGAGGGCATGAGCAACCTCTGGGTATAACAGAGCATTAGGAGTTCCTTCATTTGTAAAAAACATAGAGATATAGGAAAGTGAAAACAACTGTTGCCAAATTGTCATTGCCATGAACAGTTGCCATGAACAGCCAGGCACCTGAAAGCTGAAGGCTTGGGCAAGCTGTGAGCTGGGTACTGTCAGTGACTAACTCTGTGAGTAACAACCATAGTCTCAAGAGATAATAGCCCTTTCAAAGACAACTGTGCTTAAATACTTACCATCCCAATCCCTCATCTATATGCATCACCATCTTCTATGCCCTTTCTTAATCTGGGTAGGAACAAGAAAGTCAAGAATATGAGTCAATATAATCAGAATCACAGAGATCAGGCTTTATGATGATTGGTTTTTGCTGGAGGGACAGACCTCCATTACAACTCATATTCATATATACTTACACACACACACACACACACACTTTCAGAAACACTCATACACATACACACACTCTCACATACATTCACATACACACATACATATTCACTCATATACAAACCATACACACTCGTTCCCACACAGTCTAAAAGGAGCTTTATGCTGTGGCAGCCATTACTCAAGTCCTGTCTCTATGAAACAAAGATCGATCCCTGCAAAAATGTAGCAGACTGAGAACAAGAAATGTGAGTAAATGTTCCTTTTAATGGATTCAGTGAGAAAGGACAGTATGATAGATTTATTCTTGAAATAGTGATGTAATAGTGAAGCCTAAACAATACTTACCAGCTTTTTCCAATTAAAATAAAATGCACTCAAATATCAGTTAGGCAAATCTGCTGTAAAGACTTCTTTCAAGTGTTAAAAAGCAAAGATGTCATTTGGAGGGCTAAGGTGCACTTGACCCAACCCATGATATTTTCAATCACCCAATATGCATGTGAAAGCTGGACAGTGAATCAGGAAGATCAGAGAAGAGTTGGTGCATTAAAAATTATGGTGTTGGTAAAGAACATTGAAATACCATGGACTTCCAGAACCAATTAATGTCTTAAAAGAATGCGTCCAGAATGCGCCTTAGAAGCGAAGATAGTGGAACTTCATCTGTCATATTTTGGACATGTTATTGGGAGGGACCAGTTCCTGGAAGGACATCATGCTTGGTAAAGTAGTCAGCAAAAAAGAGGAAGACTCTCAATGAGATGGAATGAGACAATAGTTGCAACAATGGGCTCAATCATAGCAATGATTGTAAGGATGGTGTTCTGTTGTACATAGGGTTGCTATTAGTTGGAATGACTCAATGGTGCCTAAAAAAATACATCAGTTACTCATCACATTAAGGAATACTATTTCCTTTTATTGAAATATAAGCACTAATGTGATATCTCGTAAGCATAAGCTCATCTCTGTGCCTTTGTCTTTGGTCCTCTGCTTGTACACATGCTTCTCTACCACACAATTACCCACATGGGTCAGGTTTGTTCTGATGCCTCCTGCCCTGCTTCACCCTCTTCTCCCACGTCATCCCACACACTGGGCCTGACTGTTCTCACACTGCTGACTGCTGGCTGACAAATTTCTAAGACCTGGTTCACCAACCTGCTTGGGTGTATTGTGCAGAGGAAATGGGAGGGGGAAGGATCTAGGGGTGGCTGTTTTCATCCACATGAAGGCTAACCTCAATGGATTGAGATGTACTGCTATTTCCCAGAAAGAAAAATCTCTCATTGGCCTGGGGGTGAGAGCCTGTCATTTCTTAGTAGAGTCTTAAGAAAATAAATTCCTATGAAGATCCAAATCAGAATTATGCAGCAAGTGTCCAGAGGTCTCTGCTTCTGCACCCCACCCCATCCCTGCCCCATTTGTTACATCTCCTTGCATTCCTTATGGAACAATTTGAATGGCTCAGTTTCTTCTCCTGTGGGTAAGGGGAGGGCATGTAATGAAACACCTTAGTGTTTGGATGCCTTTATCTTTAAGGTGCTAGGGAAGCCAGTGGAGTTCTAATTCAGTCTTTGTTCTCTACATGGAGAATCATTTTAATAGCTCAGTGTTAAGCATCATAATGTGTCATTTCCCCCTCAAAATAGAGACTACAAATAAAACATTTATTGTTGGGAGCCTTGGGATGGGAAGTCAGGTATTTTAATGAGGCTCCTGTGACAGTTTAGCTTTTGTTACTAATAAGCACATAGTCTGTGGTGAGCTTGCAAATGCAGCTGAGAAAACTGCAAATCTAGCCTATCACCTGGAATTCCTTGCTCTTCTCTTTTGTCTGTGAATGTTGCTCTGAGTATCATGGGCAGGTCCTGTAGTCTTGGTTTGTTACTGTCCCCACACCCACATCTAGTCTGTGGGTATTGCAAACAGTTAACACACTCTGCTACTAACTGAAAAGCTGGAGGTTCAAGTCCACCTCAAAAGAAAGACCCAGTGATCCTTCCAAATTTACTTCTGAAAAATCAGCCATTGACAACCCTATGGACCAGTTGTACTTTGACACACTTGGGATCTCCATGAGTTAGGGTCGACTTGAGGGCATCTGGTTAACTGGTCATCTGAACATCTGGAGGAGATTTTTTTTCTCTTATATGTGTAGGGGCCATTCTGAGAAATGAGCGTTCCTAATCCTTCCAGAATTGGTCCCGCTCAGTTTTTACAATATAGCTCTCCCACTGAAGTGTTCACCCCCATCTGGAAACAGGAAGTATTTTCAAGTATTCTCAGTGGAGAGCAGATAGTACTCATTATCATGTTTTAAAGCTTTCTCTCCCAGTATTAGCCCTACTCCAGCCTGGCTCTGTTGTACTCCAAAACACTCCTGGTGCCCCACTGGTGGTCGCTGAATTTTATGCCCAGGAAGTGGATCTGTGAGGGAAGGCTGCCTTCTTCATCTGTTTCTGTAGTTCAGGGCTCCTCCTGGCCCCAGTGCCCCAAGCAGCACTGGAGCCCCACCAGAGACAGCTGCTATAGTTCCCACAGTCAGCCCTGATGCCAAGCCTTCACATCCTTCTCAAGGGAGTTCTGGAAGGAAATTACTGATGGTGGTGCATTTCACAGCTAAATGCTAAAATAGCAATCAGTGGAACTATTTCCCTGATGTGAGAGTCTAATTCCCTGTGTTGAATCAAAGTCTTGAAATCCTTCCAAGCCAAAGCACCTCAGGGACTCTCTATAACACAAGCTTTCAATCTCCTTAGCTCCCAGGGCAGCCCCATTAGGGGCTGTTTCTTGTACTGGTCTTATAACTACCTCTAAGGAATGTTGGGAGCTCTGGTAGCATAGTGGCTAAGGCACTTGACTGCTAACCAGAAGGCTGGCGGTTCAAATCCACCAGCCACTCCTCGGAAGGAAGGTTGGGCAAGGTGATACTGCCTCGGAAACCCAAGGAGGGGTCGCTATGAGTCGGGGTCGACTCGACGGCAAATAACAACAACAAGGAATGTTAGAGGTCAATGCTTTAGAATATTATTAATGGAAATAAAGGAAGGAGAGCAGGAGGAACAACTCCTTCTCTCCTCAGAATGCAGGTAAGTAGCTTTCCCAGACCCACTCCCTGTGTTCATCACTCCGTGACATTTGTCTTCTCTCACCAGACAAAGCTCAGTTACCAGTAGGGTAAGGGAGCAAAGCAGAAAAAAAAATCAAGAAACACAAACCCAGATAATCCTAAAAGATTCTTCATTCATTTAAGCCTAGTACCATGCTGCTTCCTCTATTCATTAAAAATGGATGGGGTTGGAAAATGGATATTCTCTGGGAATCTAAATGACCAATTTGAAGTTTCACTTCCTCTCTTCATATTGGTAGAATCCAATTTTTATTATGACTAACATAGCCAAAAAATGATACACAGAAATATAAAGAAGAGAAACAAAGACCAGGATTGTTCCATAGTTCTCATCATCATGTTCTGAGAAATACAGAGCTGGTGGTATTATTGAACTAGTATTGTTTTCTTTGCAGTCTGAATTTGAGTATGCATGTGTTAGTCCAGTTCTGACTATCACATTGAAAGAGCTCTGAAAATTTTTTAAAATGACTTCCATCTCATGATACCATAACTTGTTACCAGGGCAGGAATGAGGTCCATTGAGTCAGGCATTTGGTATAAAGAGTGAGTCCATTGCCATCTTCCTTTCCCTACTGGATTAGTCTAAATATATTAAGATAATTCTTGGAATGGAAAAATGAAAGGTTCAAGCTTGACAGGATTCTGAGCATTGTCCAACATTAATTAACAGTAACTACGGTTTTGTGTCACAGCCTCGACTCTTTTCTGTATGGTCTTCATGCACTCTTCAAAGGTGACTTTAGGATAACAGCCCGAGATGAGTGGGTATTTGCTGACATGGACCTGCTGCACAAAGTTGTCGCTCCAGCTATCAGGATGTCACTAAAGCTTCACCAGGTAAAAATCCATTTAAAACTAAAGCCTACGCCTGCAATTCCAGGGGAAAAAATTACATTTGAAACATGTGGCCACCTTTTTCAAAATGGGATTTGTGAGTGGGTTTATTATTTAGGAAACTAAGCACTGAGGCCATCTGGATATTCTTGCCATGGGCCAATGGTGATTTGTCCTCGAGAGCCACTTTCCCAGTCAGCATTGAGTCAACTCTGATGCACAGTGGCCCTATGACTCAGAATAGAACTTTGCTCCATAAGGTTTTCAATGCCTAACTTTTTAGAAGCAGATCATCACCTTTCTTCCAAGGTACCCTAGGTGAGCATGAATTTCCAGCCTTTCAGTTAGCAGCTAAACATGTTAACTGTTTGCATCATCCAGGAATTCCTATTGTTGTTGTTATGTGCTGTCAAGTTGGACCCAACTCATAGCAACCCCTCCTGGTGTTTCCGAGGCAGTATCACTACAGAAGTAGATTGCCCAACCTTCCTTCCAGGGAGTGCCTAGTGGTTTTGAAATGCCAGCCTTCTGGTTAGCAGTCAAGGGCCTTTAGGCACTACACTACCAGAGTTCCAATAATTCCTAGGAGATGGTAATATAATATTCCACTTAAGAGCTGCTAGGAGGTAGTGATATTCCACAGGGAAGGAAGAGAGATGTTGGCCAAAGAAAAGTACAAAAATCTATATCTAAACTTCATAGGCAACATTAGCCACAAAGCTAAGCACTTTTCCTAGGCACTTTCACTAGGTTAGAGCAATGAATGAGGAGGTGCTCCTGCATGCAGCTCAGGACTGAGAAAGAAAACAGGAGTGAGAATAGGGATGTGGAAGTGGACTTAGCTTTGGAGCTATTGGATAAGCCACTCTATATATGCTACCAAGGATCAGCCCTTCTGATCCTCACTGAGGCCACAGAGGACTCCATGTATTCCTCAGGACCAGTTCACCTGCCCTGATGAGTATGAAGAGCCAGGGGTCCTCTACGAGTCCATCCAGTCCTTTGAGAGAAAAGTGGTCATCTGCCATGAGGGTGATCCAGCCTGGAGGAGCGCGGTGCTGTCTAACAAGGAGGAACTCCTCACCCTGCGGCACGTGGTGGACGAGGGTGCTGATGAGTACAAGGTCATCATGCTCCACAAAAGCTTCCTGAGCTTCAGGGTCATTAAGGTACAGTGTCCACCCTGATAGTACCATGTACCTCTTGTTTATGTTTGAGAAGAAATAAGATAGTAGCTGGCACCAGCATAGGAGTCCCCATCCCCCAGGGGAACATTGGCTAGCAAGCAGAGCTAGGACAAAGCCAGGCTTGGTGTGGGATTTCCCTGCCAGGACAATTTCTCACTCAGGGAATCAGCATGAAGACACAGACTTTGAAAACTACTGGTAGAATAACATTAGACAAGGTTCAGGATCTGGCTTATTTTGAAAGACTCTTAGAGAAGGTCCACACCTTGTTCTAATAACCCACTCCTGAACTGAGGGCCTTGTTGCCAATAGTTCTTTTCCTGTAACTTCAAATCATTTGCATTATTAACACAAAAACTTTCTTTCTAATAGCTCTCAAGCTCTCCATTGAAAAGTGGCATCTTATGTTTTAGGTCAAAGTGCTATGGTTGCAGAGGTCCTGGGCCCTGCCCATTCACTTCCAGGGGACAGCAGACAAATTGGAAACCACGGGTGCCAAAAAGGCAGAGAGGCCACATTTCCTGACCTCCTCTAACCCCACAGGAGGAAGACAGAATCACCATCATTAGCCCAAGGCCTATTACTGCAAGGCCAGACATGCTGTCTCCCTCCAGCCCTTTCACCAACCAATCCTCCCAAAGCACCCACCACCTCTCTCCTGGGTTCGATAATTCACTGCAGTGGCCACACAGAACTCACAGATTATGGAGTTTATTAGGGAACCACCAGGCTACAATTTGAGTTCAGGAAAAAAAATGCTCAGTCTCTTTCCCAGCCTGCCATCTCTCAACAGTCTCTCACAGTCTCTCTCCCAGCAGTGCATGTCCCTCGGTGTCTCTCTCAGCAATGCGTGTCTCTTGCATCTCTTTCCAAGCAGTATGTGTCTTGCAGGAGCATGTCCTTACTCAGCCAGCAGTCAGAGAGAGTTCTGCCTCTAGGGGAACTCCTTTTGAGCTTGGCAGAGTGGCCAAACCAACCAATCATAACAATAGAATTCTATGCACCTGAGAGTGAGTCTCCCAGAACATTGCGTTGTGCCATGCCCAACAGAAATAACCCAGGTGGATAACATTTACAATCAGGAGCTCCTCAGTTACTCATTCCACCCTGAGTTTACAATGACTTATGGGTAGAAAAGCCATACTAAGTAATTTACTATACTACAATGGGTCATCCATTTGTGGTCCCTATTTCTTACCTGTACCACAGGTCAATAAAGAATGTGTCCGAGGACTCTGGGCTGGCCAGCAGCAGGAGCTCATATTCCTTCGCAACCGCAACCCAGAGCGAGGCAGCATCCAAAACAACAAGCAGGTCCTCCGGAACTTGATCAACTCCTCCTGTGACCAGCCCCTGGGCTACCCCATGTATGTTTCCCCCCTCACCACATCTTATCTCGGGACGCACAGGCAGTTGAAGGACGTCTGGGGCGGGCCTATCAGCTTGGACAACATTCAGACGTGGTTCCGAACCAAGTGGTTGAGGTAGGCTTTTATCTAGGTGCTGTGGCTGGGTGTGGAGACAGCCTGGGTAGAGCTCTTGTACTTCTGATTAGAATTTCACTGCTGATCATTATTTTCTCATATGACTAAATTTCTGTCCCCAAGTGGCATCTAGTAGACCATTCATTTCAACATGCAGTCTCAGATTATGAGTCAATGAGAAATCTCATACAGATGAACACCAATTTCCCCACATACGCAGCTGCAAATCTGGCATGAATCCTTCCAGAGCCACAGGGTGAGGGGTCTTTGAAAAGGAATGTAGGACATCTGTTACAGAGAACAAGGCCTGAACTCCCTCAGCACAGAGTTTTCACGCCACTGCATCTGCCTGCTCACCTGGTTTTAGGGATAAGGGTCTGGAATGAATTCTAAGCCATTTTGCCTGAATATGGTTGAGTTCCTTCTCAGGCCTCAGAATCAAGGGATCTGGTGGAAGGTTGGTGGTGAAACATATTCATCCCCATGAAGTTTATCCATTTATAAGGTTTGGTGAACAAAAGCCTCTGCCCCCGCCACACACAGTTCTTGTATGCCACTCACCTGTAAAGCAGGGTCACATACTGATTTAGTTGGCATATGGACAGCATTAGAAATATTTAGCAGGAATTCTTGAAGTGTTTCTTCCCCTTGCAGAATGCGGAAGGACTGCCACACAGGCCAGCAGAGCAGTGGCAACATTGAAGACGTGGATGGGGGAGGGGTGCTATCTGCAGGCCACACCACGAGTGGGGAGAGCCAGGAGAGCAGTGCAGAGCCACCTAGAAAGGATGGGCACCGTGAAAGCTCACCACCAAGGACAGGTAGGTGCAGGGAAGGCTCGGTGCTCATAAAGGCTTGTGTGGTCCTATGGTCCATGTCATGGATCAGGTTGCCACTCTGTGAGCACGTTGGCCTAGAGGATGCCTGAGATGCATTGACTCTTACATGTTTTACTCTAGAAAAATCTCCATCAGATTCAGCTCTGATAATTTATCTATCTGTTTCTTAGCTTGGGAGTCCCTGGATGGTGCAAGCTGTTAACACTAACATACTCAGTTGCTAGCCAAAGCTCTGGCCATTTCAGTCCATCCAGAAGAAAGGTCTGGTGATCTGCTTCTGAAAAATCAGCCATTGAAAACCCTATGGAGCACAGTTCCACTCTGACACACATCGGGGCACCATGAGTTGGAACTGACTCCACAGCCACTGGTTGGTTTTCTGTTAGCTTGGCCAGCCACCCAAACATCTGTCTGTCCATTTCTACATGGATCACTCCATTCCATCCATCTCTCCCTCACTCCAGAACTATTTGATTATTATCTGGCTCTGTTACAGCTGCTGATCAGCACCGTAGTTTGTTCTTTCTGAGAGTTGCTTGCTCCTTCCTACCCCTTCTCCAAGTGTGTAGTGTGCACCAACATCTCTGGCCCCCTCTCCTGATTTTCCTAGTTCTTACCTTCCTCCACAATTTCAGAGGACAGGAATGAAGTGATAAGGGTGCCAGCAGATGGGAATGTAGGAGGTGGCTGGGCCAAGGTTGGGCTGCTTTTAATGTTTAAAATCATGTTTAAGCTAACACTCAACTAGTTAGGCTCTACCAGACGGATGTGGATTGGCAGCTTCATTGCTGGTGCTGCTCTGGAGGAGGTGAGGTGGGTTAGGAAAGGAGACTGAGGATTGGCAAGGATAAGCCTTTTGTGAACATAGGAGACAGATGCTTTGCTTGTTCCTGCTGGCAGGTGGGCCCATGGTTTTGATCTTTAGTACTTAATGCTACCATTTTTGGCATCAGTTCTTCTTCACCATCCAGAAGTATTTATTAAGCACCTTTGTGTGCATTCTCCCCCCACCAGCTCTGCACCAAATGAATTAACAGAAACAGTAGTACCCACCTCCTAGGAGCAGTTAAAGCAAGGCAGAGGATTTAAACAAAGTAGGTAGGTAGGTAAGTAGATGGATATTACCTATTCAGAAAGGAACAAAAGGTTCCCCTGCCTCTAGCCCAGCCTAATGCTCTCTGCCCAGATCTCAGAGCAGAGCACCTGACCAATACCTCCAGCCCTGTGACTGGCTGTCAGGCAGGGCTTTTCTCATTGTTTAGTTAAATATGTTATCACTTGAAAATATAAATTTCAAAATCATGTAAGTGATTTTCCAGATGGGAAAATGCAGGGTAGTTTCCAAATGGTGAAATGCTTACATGTTGAGTATTGCCAATACTGTCTAGGTGACTTGTCAGCTGGCAGAGATTGTAGGTACAAGCCTCCGAAGGAGTGCTGACACAGAAGCCAGGCAGGCTTCAGGGGCAGTCTGGCTGCAAGGGTGGCTAGGCGAGCCTCTGACTTAATGAAAATCTCTCTTCTTTCAATGAGTGAATCCATGCCAGCAATTGGCCTTGGTATCAGCCTGGTACAAGCCTATGTCCTTCTTCTCCTTGAATCTGGATGCCTCACCCAGCAATTCCTGTTTACAGCCCAAGACACAGGGCTAAAAGGCTGTTGTCAGAATAGAATTTGCTAGAGCTCAAGCTAGCTGTCATACTGTTACATTGAAGGAATTGCAACCAACATCACAAAAAAATGTGTATAAATTGTTGAATGAAAACTAATTTGCTCTATAAACTTTCACCCAAACTATAATTTGAAAATATAAAGAAGTCAATCACAAAAAAATAAAACTGTCACAATTGGCCATCTTGGCTTTCTGTTTTTTATAAGTTAGATAAGCATGTGCCCTATGCTCTTAGTGCTCACCACCGGTTGTCCCCCACCTGCAGCCCAAGTTGGCTCCCAGTTCTGAGACCTATCCTTCTGCTCAGAGAACTTTATGACAAAGCCTCCAGCCACAACATCTGCAGCTTTGAAGCAAGTCAGTTTAATTTGCTGTATTCCTGTGTGGTAATAATTAATGATAAGTAGAATTTTCCAAGGGCTTACAGGGCACCAAACTGTCCTGAGTACTTTGCGTGTAAAAATTCACTTCATCCTCACCTTGACTATGAGCTAGGCACGTTCATCAATCTCATCTTGCAGATGAAGAAACTGGGCTTAGAGAAGTTAAGTAACATTCTGGGTTGAGGTCAGGCTAGATGGCCCCAGAACCCGTACCTCAGCACCTTGCACACCCGCTCTCCTGGCCCTGGGACATCATCAGTCCTGACCGGAGAATGCACTGATGGGAACCACCATTTACTGAACACCTACCACTCCCAGTACTTGTCTGTGCTGCTGGCACCATCCGTGGCTACTCATGGCTTTCCTGTTCCCTGACAAAGGGCTCCATGCACAACTGATTCTCCTTCTGGCATCATGAGTAGGCAAAGCTAATAGTAGTTCTTTTCCAAGCAGGAGCCCTGAAGTGCTGTGCATAGGGCCATAGGCCAAGACAGTTGTTCTCTCCAGCAAGTGGGGACAGGGATGGTGTCAACAAGCCACACACACACACACACACACACACTCAGTTAGCTGGCATGCCTGAGATTTGGGCACTTCCTAGCAGAGTCTCAGACAGTTGGAACTGAGAGAGGGAATGGAAACAGGTATGCCCCTCCCCTCCCCACTTCTAAACCAAGTATTGGCAGGATCTAAACCAAAGAAAAACCACTGTTGTCTAATCGATTCAGATTCATAGTCACCCTATAGGACAGAGTAGAAATGCCCCATAGGGTTTCCAAGGCTGTATATATTTACAGAAGCAGACTGCAACATCTTTCTCCCGTGGAGTGGCTGGTAAGTTTGAACCACTGACCAAGCACTTTAACCCCTATGCCAGCAAGACTACTTCCTCTCTCCCTCCTTACTTAAAGGAAAATCTCTCTCTGTCTCTCTCTCTCTGTCTCTCTCTCTTTCTCTGGCTTCTTGTGTAGCACAAAATCATAACACTCTACACAGCAGCCAGAGTGATTTTATTTTAACCTAAGTCAGTCCATGTCATTTTTATGTTATGGCTTTCTACTTCAGAATGAACCAGAGTCCTCACCATGCCCTCAGGACTCTCAGCAACCCCGCTGGTCAGGCACCACCTCCAACAGCTCTCCCCCTGCTCATGTTGCTCTGCCTGCTGCCCCCATGATGTTCTGCAGCCTGGTCAAGCTCATCTTTCTCAGGGCCTTTGCACTGCTGCTTTGTAGCCTCTTGTTTTTCCCAGTGTCAGTATAGCCCGTTACTGCTTATACTTTCAAGTCTGATGAAGTGTCACCTTATCACAGAGGCCCCTGACCCACCTGTCCACATGGTGGTCCCCTATCACTCTGCCCTTTTCCCTGGCTTTACCTTCCCACCAACAGACACCCCCTGGACACATCTGTTTGCTTATGATGAGCTTCCTCCTTATAGATGAGCACAGGTGTGGATTATCCAATCTCCGTGTCCATGTTCCATCCAGACCCTGCATACAGTCTCCCTGTGCTGGCTCCCTGGGTCCCAGGAAGTGTGCAGGAGCAGGCAGCATGTCCCTATCTCTGAGGATCCCTTGCTTTGTGGGGAGAAGTGGCTGAAGGAGTTTGGAGGGAGGACCTCCATGGTGCAAGCCAGTGCTACTCAGCCCTGAGTATGGCAATTGTGGTAAAAAACAACAACAAAAAAAAAAACACCTCACTGCCATTGTGTCAGAACCAACTCATCGTGACCCCTCCTTGGGTTTCTGAGGCAGTATGACTACGAAGTAGACTGATTGCCCAATCTTCTTTCTGAGCTATAGATGTTGGCTAAATGAACAAGTGGTGGTCCCTCCTGGATGTGCCTAAGGCATCTGACTGCTAACCAGAAGGCTAGCGGTTCAAACCTACCAGCCACTCCTCGGAATGAAGGTTGGGCAACCTACTTCTGTAGTAGATACTGCCTCAGAAACCCAAAGAGGGGTCACTATGAGTTGGATCCAACTCGACGGCAAAGAGAGTAAGGCTTTTCAGGAAAGTGAGGTAGTAGACCCTTGGGTTATAGAATTCCAAAGGAGGACTGCAGCTGCTTCTGTTCATCACAGCAAGAGCAAAGGGTCCAAGATCCTGCCAATACTCCTGAAATGCACCACCCTGTGTCCGGGAGCTCTGGTGGTGTAGTGCCTTAGGGCTTTTGACAGCTAACCAGAGGGCTGGTGGTTCAAACTCACCAGCCACTCCTCGGAAGGAAGACTGGGCAATCTACTTCTGTAGAGATACTGCCTCGGAAACCCAAGGAGTAGTCACTGTGAGTCAGGACCGACTTGACAGCAGTGAGTTTTTGGGTTTTTTGCCTGTGTCCTGGCCTGCTGCTAGAATCCCACTGGGGCCCTGACTTTACTGCCAAAAGGTTCTTCCAATTCTGTAGGACCAGGTTCAGACAGGAGACCTAAAGCTGGATGCTCTCATGGTGCTGCCTTTAGTCTGAAAGGGCTCTGCCACAGAGCTGGAAGAGTCCTGGAAAGAAGACTGTCTCCCTCCTGAGAGGAACACTGCACTGTCCTTTGCAGGCTGCTTTCTACCACCTCCCCCCTGCCCCAGCCCCTTTAGGATAGCCAGTCATCCCCTGGTGAGCCAGTGGAGGCAAGTGCTGCAAAGGCAGCAGGCTTCCCTCCAGATTGTTTGAGAGTCCCTGAGGGAGCAGAGTAAGAGTAAGTCATAGGGCACTAGTCCCTTCCATGCTCCCAGCCTGTCCACGCTGCAGGAGGTGCAGCCATCACGTAGACCTCTCCACACTCACCCCACTGTCCAGCAGCTGCTTCAGGCCTCCTGGGAAGGCAGCTCCTGGGTGGCCTTTCTCAGAGTTCACTGTAGTAGATTCAAAGCTGCAGCACAAGCATAGCACCCATTGTGAGGGGAATTGGACAGATAGAATATGTTTGGGTGTTTGCTTGGAACTTGTAGCTTGGATCCTCAAGAAAAATCTCAAGACAGCAGGGAGATCTGGAAATACCCTGGGTATCACAGGTCTCCTGAGGGAAACCAAGAATGGCCTGAAATAGGTATAGGAGAAATACATATTGCTTACCCACACCCAGGACAGATATCTCTTCCCCTGAACCCAACCTCAGGAAAAATTAAATGTCACCATTTTCCCTACCACTCAGTTAAAACATTTTCCACCATGGTTAACTGCATTCGCTCTCTCCTTGTGAACAGCATGAAAATAGGACATGTGCCTCTTACCATCAGCAGTTAGAAACACCCTCCTTCACTCTCCACTCATCAACATCTTGATGGCTCTGATGCCATCATACCCCTAACACCTGACATATTGCAAATGTTCACAAAATTTCTGTGATGTAAGAGAGCACTGCACCTAGAAACTCCTAATCTCCAAAAACTTGACCCATGAGGCCCTCCTTACACTGACTTTCTCTGCTAATGAAGATATTGTGGATACTTAGTAAGATTTTCTAGCCCTGCATGGGAGTCAGGGACACAGAATAGTTACTTACCTCAATGCATTGCTTCCACACTGTGTGCAGGTAGCACTGTAGTCCCTAAGAGAACAGGCCCAGGGAAGGAGTCCCCACATGGGGAGAGCTCCTGGCCTAGCCATCACTGATCAGGGGACTTGGGTCTAATGTGTCAAGTAGTTCTTTCATAGATGTTAAGGCCAATCGTGAAAACCCTGAACTTTGACAAGAGAGGAAACTTTGGATAGACTCTGGGGCAGCCACCACCAACCATGCCCAGCAAGCCAATATTCCTGAAGGAATCACCCTTTGGTGCTTTGGACATATGTGGATTTCATTTCAACCTCAAGCTTCTCTGGCGTCCTTCTAGCCCTCCCTCCCAGTTGAATCAAAACACTATGTTTGTAATAGTAGAGACATAGCTCCCAGAGGAAGCTAGGGCCCTTGCTTTACTGGCATAGCCCATGAGTGGCCACGCTCCTGTGATGGACAGGCAGTTTATAATTCTTGATCTTTGCACTTGACCCTGGAACAATAGAGAAACAACCTTCATAGCTTCCTCACAGCTCACTCTCTGGTCTCCAGTAGAGGCCACATAGGCCCAATCTGCAGAAGCTCACTACTGGGTCTCAGCACTGTAGGTCATGGTAGATTTTGAATTCCCAAATGGCCACAATGGCCAAGGTTAAGAACACCTATACAGACCTTGAACTTTCTTGGGACTAGCTGTTGCTAATCAGGGATTTACAGAGCTCAAAGTTTCAATATAAGGTCAGTTTTATAGGTATTGGTCCTCTTCTTCCTTATTTGCCAAACAGTGGGCTAAGTGCCAAACTCAGAGAAACAATGCAGTAATTCTTTGCTCCAGAAAATCAGGGGTGATGCATGGACATAATTACAAGGCAGTAATTGTGAAATGCGATGCTAGAGGTAGTCATGGGATCATAGGGCAAAGGACCTGACCTTCTGGGGAAAGGTGTGACAGGGAAAGCTTTAGCCAAGTAGCAATGTCTAGAACAGTAGTGTTTTGAAGGAAGAATTTGAACCAAATTCTAATAACAAGGATCTTGTTTTACTCATGGTGACTGTCTCAGTTGATTTAGTGACTATCGTAACACAGATATACAGTGGATGGCCTTAAAGAACATAAATTAATTTTCTTGCAGTTATGGAGACAAAAATTCCAAATCATGGTCTCAGCTATGTTGATTCCTTCCTTGTAGGTAGTTACAGGCATTTCTTGGTTCCTTGGCTTGTGGATGATGCTCTATCTTCCCTGTGTGTGTTTCTCTGTGTCTAATCTTTTGATAACTTAAATGTGATTAGATTTAGAACCACCCTACTTGGTTATCATCTAATTAACATAATAAAGAAAACTTTTCAAAACAGGATCACATCCATGGGTATAGGGATTAGGATACTAACACATATTTTGGGGGATACAGTTCAATCCATAACAGTGACCAAGACTCAATTCTCTTAACTAGGGGCCCAACTACTCCCTCCCTTCTGTAGTCCCTGCCTTGGTCTGCTCCCTCCCTTCTATGGTCTCTGCCTCAGTTCCTCACAGTTAATCCTGTACCCTTGCCAAACTCTCAGGAGACAGGGTCCTGCCTGAGTCCCTATAAGCAGCCTTCTCTCCCAGGATCCCCTCCATCCCAGCTTCCAGGCATTCTCTGTGCCAGCTTCAACTATGGTTCTGACAACTTGCAATCTTCATGCTGGAAATCAGCTTGCCAGGGTATAAAACGTATTTCATACTTCACAATGGAAATAAGAACATCCCCCAGCAGAGGAGACTGGTGACCTACTTACTGAAGAGCAGTTAGGAATTCGTAACTACTCTGAATTCCAAATTGGAGAGGAGGGCTATGTTCTCCTGTTGGTAGGGCTATGCACCACAATCTTTCCAATAGCAGTCAAAGGCAGAGGACTGGTGCCATGATTATGGATCAGGAGGAGGAGTTTTCATGGTATTTCAACTCAGGATCCTGGGAAGTTTTCCCTAGAAACACCCAAAATTTGATAATGCAGTAACTGACAAAGTAAGTGAAATTGTGGAATAAAGATCCTGAGTAGCATAAATTTAGCATGGTTTGCTTATGTGTTTGTATTGTTCCATTTGCAACAGTAAAATTACAAAACAAAATAACACAGATGCAACAAGAAAATTCAAAGCCATGAAATCGAGAGGTATTCTCATCTTGTGTGGACCATTCCTCTTTGACACAGAGAGAAGCCTTTGTCACTTTGTTCTCGGTATTAGCTCAGAAGTTCCTCCCCACATATGGGTGGTCTTCAACCCAGCATCAAAATCACTGGCTTGAGAATGACTTAAGAGTAGTTTTGGACACTGGTCCGCTTTACAGTATAAATCATAAACAGATGTTTGACCTTGCTGAACTGTGAACTAACAAAGCACTGTTTCTGTTCTTAATTTTGATTTGTCAAGGTCCCTTTTCTACCTTTTTTTTTTTTTCTCTTCTGTAAGTAACATATTAAACTCATCATGAGGGGCCTTTGCAGACCACTGCCCACCCTGCCTTGAGGTCCTGATGAAAGCCCCACAGGCAGGGCTGACATACACTTCTCAGGATGCTGGTGCAAGTCTTATGGGCCAGCACAGTGCCCAAGTTGGCACTAAGCTCACCTTGAGGCAGAGGGTGCTTACAGTCACTATGGGAAGAGGGACAGGATGGTGGAGAATGAATGACCCCTGGAGTTTCCAGTTCCCTAAGGAGTTACTTCTCAAATGATAGGTCATTTTTCCAGTTGTCTTATAAATAGACATACATAGGTATTTCAGAATCACTTGAATGCACAATTAATCATTCAGGCACTTGAGGTGAGGTAGAACATGTATTGGACAGTGTTTAGCCCTCCCTGTTTCTATTATTCAGTGCCTCATTGTAGCAGCTTCCAAAGACAAGCCAATGAAGCCGTTGATAGAACCATGATTTCACTAGCTGCAATCACCAAGATATTTTAATATTAGATTCTAGTTGATTATTGAGGCTTATGATAAAGACTATGCATGTTAGCAAGCACACATTCTCCTCATAACTGCTTGCTTACAAAGCTAAACAGCATGCACTGTGTAGGGAGACTGTGCACAAGAAGACCTTATTTAGGTTTTTCTTTATCCAGAAAAGTGAACAGAACCAATTCCTTTAGTCAATAATGCCTTATTCAGATAATTCTCAGCATGAGGTGGGCCATGAGGGGCATCTGAGGGCAAGGCTTCTGGCAGAGGGGATACCAAGGGACAAGACTGAACTTGGACAAGGCACAACTGTGAGGGTTTGACCTGAGACCCTGATCTTAAAGGAAAACTATTCTAGAAAAAAATAGCCACAACATATGATTCAACCCTATGATTTCCTTTTCAAGGCAATTACAAATGGTAAAAACCTGCACACTGGCCTTTATCATGCTAGTCAGGTAAGCACACAAACCAAGGGTCTGAACTACTTTCAAAACTGGATTTGCTTAACAAGGCCAAGCTACCCTGATATGTCAATTTGGTTTGTTTCTGACTGAGTGGTTCTCCAAAGACTCAGGGCTTTAACTACTAAAACCCAGAGAATCCTGGAAATATCACAGTGATTAGGTCACTAACCATAACTACTACTGCCTACATCAACACCTCTCACGTACCCTTAGGCAGTAATGCCCAGTACACTGGAGGTCAGGTTCTGAGATCAGATCACATGGCTAACATGGTTAACAACACAGATATGTGCATTCTTGCCTGGACGGCCACTAACCAGCATGTAAGCTTGGTAAAGAAAATGAGACCTGCAGTTCTTGGTCTCAGAAGCAGTGTGAGCAGTGTCTCATCTGGTCCCTCAGATCCACACAGAGCAGGTTGCTGGCCCATATCATTACTTGCAATTCACTGCAACTATCATATGCTCTGCTTCCTTTTAAAGGCAGGAGGAAAGGCAGGAGCCAGTCTGTCCAGGCACATGTGGCATTGAGCCAAAGACCACCCATCACAAGTTTGTCAGGCCACATCCTGGAGAGCCACCAGACCTTCCTTCAGACATCCACATCAGTCCATGAGTTGGCCCCAAGGAAGTCCAGCAGCCAGCTTTCTTTACACAACTCAGCCGCATCCCTGCATTCTCAGCCACCGCCCACCACTACAACAGGCCACCTGAGCGTCCGTGAGAGGGCCGAGGCACTGATCAGGTCCAGCTTGGGTTCATCTACCAGCTCCACTCTGAGCTTCCTCTTTGGCAAGAGGAGCTTCTCCAGTGCCCTTGTTATTTCTGGACTGTCTGCTGCAGAGGGTGGCAACACCAGTGACACCCAGTCATCCAGCAGCGTCAACATCGTGATAGGACCTTCAGCCAGAGCTGCAGGCCACGCCACACGGGTAAGCAAGCACTGCATTAGCAGTCTGGAACTTTACCAGGCTAGTATGATAGGTGCCTGATGAGACCCATCCATTTGCCTGCAGACTTGCATCACATTCCCTATTGGGAATAAAGTGACCCCATTTCTCACTCTAAGAGTGAGAAATGACCAGGTCGTTAGACATGAAATGGTTGGGCAGCATTCTGAAGCAGGCAAGCTATAGAGTGGCCTGTAAATAACAATACCAGGCATTGTTGGAGGTTGCCTGAAGCAGGAGTTGAGCAGAATTGTCATCATTAATGTTAAACTTGGGGATGGGAAGAGGATGCTCTCCATTCATGCATACAATGGAAGCAAGTTTAAGTTCATTCTCTTCTCCTAGCATTCTGGTCTGAGGGAGAAGAGAAGAAACATTTCCACCCTGGAGTTAGGTTATGGTTGATTTCTCTCCATCTGGTTTAATTTTAAAGGTGGTGCGATGTCTACTACCATCAGGTGTTTCAACACTAGAAAAAGAGAGTTTTAAGAACTTCATGCAAATAAAATGTTACTTATCCAGAATCCCAAGGTAGCTGACATCACATGAGTACCTCGTGCTTCAAATATATGTACACAGAGACATACACGCACACAGAGAGAGAAAATAGAGACAGAGACAGACATTCAGTGATTCTCTTGTATAACACGGTAAACAAACTCACTGCCATCCATGAGTCCAACTCATAGCAACCCTCATTGGGTTTCCAAGGCAGTAAATCTTTATCAGAATTAGATTGCCCCATCTTCCTTCCATAGAGCAGCTGGTGGGTTTAAGCCACCAACTTTCTGGTTAGCAGTCAAATGCCTTAGGCACTGTGCCACCAGAGCTCTGTATAACATGGTAGCACTAGGGCAAATATCCCTCAGATTTGGTGATTTTCTGTGTTCCTTTTGGATGTTACCATATTTTCCTGCCCAAGATTTGTTCTCTTCATCAAACATGAGAGTAATACCCCACTTGCTTCCAGTCCTGGGTGCAGTTACTGGGAGTTTGAAAGCGATGGCTACACTAAGCCTTCTGATCTGCCACTGTCCTCTCCTTCCATAGGAGGTGTTCTCTAGGCAGAGGTCCCTCCTCCCCTGTAAGACACAATAAAGTTACTGCCCACAGCCACTTGACACCAATGCTGAGACAAAATGGCTTATAGTAATTAGGTCACTTTATCTAGCAGGTTCATGGTTTCTTAGAGCTCATAGACTACACCTGCCAAGAGGAAGGGAGCTGGTTACTTTAAGACATTTAATTAAGTTTAGTGAGATAACAGATTCCTTGGGTGGGGCAAATGGTTGACACACTCAGCTGCTAACCAGAAGATTGGAGGTTCAATTTCACCCAAAGCCACCTTGGAAAAAAGGCCTGGTAATTGACCTTTCTTTTAAACCCAAACTTTAGTGAAAACACTAAAGGTCACAGCTTTTTATAACATATGTTGGGTCACCATGAGTTGGAGTTGACTTGATAGTAACTAGTTAGCTAGATAACTAAGCTGATAAACAAGCTTCCCTCCCTTTTTCTCATTTCCTTAATGAAAATGTACAAAATATTGCAACGTTTCCCCAAATATGCTCAGTCACAGTCTTAAAAGGGTATGTATCTCTGGTACTCATCCACTTCCTTCACTCCAACAAGGATAATTAAGTCCATGGGGCTATGTGTATCCAGAATAAAAATGTCTCTATACAGCTGTTCTGGGCCAAATCTCAGGAACCCAGCATGCATGGTAGGGCTAGGTGTACATGAAATGATGCTGACAGAACAAAGGCCATCCAGGCAACAATGACCTTTTGCCAAAGGTCATCTCTTTCTAGCATACCAGACTGTCTGGGAAAAGGCCCTGCTCTGGAGGCCCTGTGATAGGTTGTGGTTCTGTCCTTTCCTCAAAGGCTAAACCCTGGTCTCTGTAGTCTGATCTGGCCTTAGAACCTGACCTCAAAGCTGCTGGGCACATGGGTACTTATGCTCTGGTTTAGCTCCACTGGGTGGTCCTGACTAGAAGAAACTGGCAATGGGTCTGTGCTGAGATGTCCATTGCTTCTGTTTTCTTTTTGGAAGCACTTCTCGGAGCCATGTGAACCCACTGATGGTGAAGAGCAGGGCCAGCACTGTGAAAGCCATCTAGCTGAGGCCATGGTGGAGAACTCTGGGGTGATGTGCAGAAGAGCAAGCCAGGAGGATATGGGGCTGGATGACACGGCATCCCAGCAAAGTGCTTCGGATGAGCAGTAACGGACATCCATCAGGAAGTCTGTGTGCAGGAACCGTGGATCATCCATGTGTCCACCTTTATGATTCTCCTCAAAACCCCCAAACTGAAAAGAGAAAATGTTGTAATCCATGTCAAAGCTGTTCTAGAAAACAGACTAGTTTCAATCTCAGGTTCCTGAAAAATTCTCACATGATGAAAGAAGAATTGACACCACCTGCCTCCTTCTCCAAATGCCTGGCCCAGAGCTGCACCACTTGGGTGGCACAAATACAGTTTTCAGAATTTGAAGTTTCAAACAAAAGCCATTTACTATCTTAAAAACAACTAGAATAAGTAGAGCACATGACTGACTCTTGCTCTCAAGAAGATAAGACAACTGCATGTTAGATAATTGGCACTTTATATATTACTGTTACCATAAAAAAGAAATGAGCAGCTGCACTTACAGGTAGTCCTCAGGTTACAAACAAGATCCATTCCTAAGTGTGTCTTTAAGTCAAAGTTGTAGGTACATTGAAACAGGTGCATACAGTTCATATTTAGCTTTACTTCAGTGCAAGGAAAAAGCTGGAAGCTTTTTTAAAAATTTTTTCCCTCTTTGTAAATGCTCCCTCTCTGATGTCACATGACTGATTGATCTAAGGGGTGCATCTCCCTAGGGTAGATGGGTGCATCTTCCTGGGGTAGGTGTTCTGCATGTAGGTCTTTCTATTGTTGGTCTGAGAGCCAATCCACAAAATCCACAATCCACTAGGCCCAAGGGATAACTCAGGACCATAGTCTCCGGGGTTCCACCAGTCTCTATCTAACCAGTAATTCTGGTCATTTTTGTGTTTTTGAATTTTGTTACATATTTTTCCTCCCACTCTATCTAGGATCTCCAACTTTGATCCGTTTCCCAGTGGTTGGCATTGGTAGCTAAGCACCATCTAGGACTTCTGGTCTCAGGGCCATGAAGGCTGAGGTCTTTGTGGTCCATCATATCTTTGGACTAATTGCTTCCAAATGACTTTGATTTTCTTCACTTTTCTTTGCTCCAGGTGAGAGGAGACCAATAGTTGTATCTTAGCTCAAAGCTTTTTCAATGTTTTAAAAGCTGCACATGCAGCAAGTGAAGATGATTGTGGTTATGGGTAAGGATAGGTTCAATCATTTCAAAGTGAGGGAAAATTTACATAATATCAAAGGGCAAGTAAGAATTGTGCACAAGCCAGGCATTTGTAACCCAGGGACTGCCTGTATTGTACCATCAGCTGGCAAAATGTACTAAGGCTAAATCTATTTCAAGGAAAACCTCATTTCTTTATGATTATGCAGGTGTTAAGTAAGCATACAATAATGGCATCTTTACTACAAACACATGCTAGTGCATGCAGTCATGTCTGAAGTATTCTATGAAGAGCTAGAATACAGAGAACACATGCTTAGAATCTAACTGTCAATGCATGGAAAGCCCTCTTGGACCCTGGCAGTCATTGATTGCAGTCCTGCAATCTCCTGATGAAGCCTCATGTGCCCTACACACCTGCAGGCTTCACAGGAATGCATGCTTGTTGTCCAAGCCCAGCAGTCCTCATTGTGTCATCTGACACTTGCATACATCCTTGTTTTTGAAATTAAAATGTTTATACTTACTAATGTGTCCAATTGTTTGAATTGTGCTGAAACTGTTTTCATTTCTACAAGCCTTAGTGGTGCGGTGGTTGAAGCACTTGACTGCGAACCGAAAGGTTGGCTGTTCAAACCTACCAGCCACTCTGCAGGAGGAAGATACATCAGTCTGCTTCTATAAAGATTTACAGCCTCAGAAACTCTATCGGGCAGTTCTACTCTGTCCTGCAGGGTCACTATGATTTGGAATCGACTCAATGGTAATAGGTATCCTTTATTGTATAAAATATGGGCAAATTTAAGAGATTCCCAGTAAGATTCACTCATTCATTGTTTCCTATCCCTCAATCAATCAAAGGGGGTAGCTAGCAATGGTAGCCCAGAGAATTGCCCCTTCTTTCTATTCAATCTTAGTAAACTTAGAAGTTTGTGTCTGGGAGAATTGTACATGTGGTTGTTGAAGGCAGATGCTGGTATCCCTTTAGCATAATCATTTGGGACAAATAGGTAGAAAGCGGTGGAAGTAGACCAAGAGGAGAGGCATTGCTAATGCATATTTTATGGGCAAAGATGCATGTATTTCCCACTTTAAGATTCCAACTGGGGAGCAGAAACTTAAATTCTTGCTGAAATTAAGGAGGAAAAAAGTCATGAAACAACAGTCCATGAGGAGTACAGTCGTGGATCTCTTGAACTCTCTTGAACTCTCTCTTTTGGAAGGATAATAGAAACACTCAATTCATAAAACTGTCACATATTTCTTCAAAGTATCTAGGATTTGTAAATTTGGAGAGAAGAAAAAGAGAAAAGGTATTGTAGAGGATCTCTTTTCCCTTAGTATCAGATGGCCATATATATATATATATATATTTGTGAAATAAATTAGCTGTTAATAGTAATAGGAGGGCTCTATTACCAGACCCAGAGTGCCTTCATTCTCAGATGAGCAATCCCTGGAGATGCAAACTTGGTTATTTCTGATCCATAGGCAGGTGTTTGCATAATGAAAAGGTTCAGTTCTCTAAATTGCCCAAAGCAAAATCAGCTGGTGCCTCTGAAATCCTCCTGGGCAACTGTAAACAAAATCCCTGAGAACTAAGTGTCAGTCCCTGTGCTGTGACTATGGCCCCCTTGTAAAAGGTGATTGCTTAAATTCCGTCAGAGGATAAAGACCAGTGTCTGACAGCAAGTCTGCAGCACATCAAATCACTCCCTTGGGAATCCAGAAGCAAGGATACAGAAGCTGCCATGTTCCACAGAAAGCAAAACTCTGCTGAAGAAGCTGGAGGTCAGTCTGTAGAGGATGCCAATGACAAAGGAGAAGTCAAAAGTGCCGCAGGTGCTCTTAGATCTGTTTCCACTAGAGAGAGATGTCTGAGCTGCTTTTTTAACTGCTCAATCTGTTTATTCTTCATCAGAGTTCACGATGAAGTCTTTTAGGGCATGGAAGGAGGAGAAAATGTATACAGTTTATCAACAACATAAGAAAATTCCTCCATTATGACTGCAACTCTCTGCTTTCTTTGCATCATCTAGGGAAGAGTCAGGCCAACTTTCACCTGCTTACTGAAAATGTGCATTTCCATACACACTTACATCTATAGGTGTATGCACCTGCAAGAGGTCATGAGTCACTCCACCATTGTCCATGACTGCTTGGCCAGCATCACCGATGCAGACACAGCTTGTTGTATGTGATTATTCGCAATTTGTGAGCTTGTTCACCTAGTCCTCAGCCAGTCAACTCTTTATCAGAGAGTATTCTTCACAAAGTATTGTATTATTAGCCCCATTTAAAGGAGATATGCCTGTGTTGACATTTCTAGCCAAACTTATTCAATGTTCTGTCAGCACACGGTTAATTTTGTGCTTGGGCACTGAACAAGACTGTTTTTCCTCTAAAGATAATATAAAAACTGTAGCACTTATTTTTCTATAAATCGTGCACCTAATTTGGCATTACTGGTTCTAAATTCTGCACTGTATGTTGAAACCATGTTTCTGGCAAGTAGTTTTCAAAAAATCATTAGATGTTCAAACTTCTTTGCCCATAAAATGTGCATTAGCAATGCCTGTTTATTTATCACTCTCCTCTTGGTCTACTTCCACCGCTTTCTACTGTTTTGTCCCATATGATTTTGCTAAAGGGATACCAGCATCTGCCTTCAACAAACACATGTACAATTCTCCCAGACACAAACTTCTATGCATACTAAGACTGAATAGAAAGAAGGGGCAAGGCCGATCCTATTTTTGGGGGCTAACTTTGCTGCCCCCTTTGATTGATTGAGGGCTAGGAAACAATGGTGAACATCACTGGGAATCTCTTGTCAATCATTGTGGTGAAATGATTTCCTTTATGTGATTTTTCTTTGGAAAAACAGCTCGAGAGATTTTTGTTTCCCCTAAATACTGAGGAGTTATCTAGTTTTCTACCATAGAGGTTTTGTTACTTTTGTCCAGATCAATTGACATTTCCTAGGTAAGCTGTACACAACTTGTGGTTTGATACTTTTTGTCTGGTCCTGAGCTGCTTGTAATTAGTATGCACCTTGCAGGGATTGATCACTCGTCTATGCAAATGAAATATCTGCAGCCTACTATGCAAATGAAGTGTCTTTGGCCTATAGAGAGGGGATTGGTCAGTTCACGCCCCAGTGGGAGGGCCATGCCTTGAAATTGATGAGGAGTTTGTGTGCAGCCATCTCCACAGGGGTTTTGAGACAGGAAGTAGGAGGAACAAAAGCAGCAGAAGAAACAGATAGAAGAAAGATGAAAGATGAAAGAAACAACAGAGAGAGGAGTCAAAGAACCTCCTGAAAGAGCTGTAACAGATGTCAAGGGCTATAACACTGAAGACAGTGAGAGGCCTAGAAGGAGCCCAGTGGCAGTCAGTGGTAACATACAGCAGGGCCAACAGCCCCTGTCCTGAGAGGGCCGCAAGGAGGCCTACATAGCCAAGAGGATCTGAGAGAGCTATCTTACACTGAAGGGAAACTTTGCCTACATGTTTCCTGATGGCGATCCAAAGTTGTACCCTATAACTTCCTTAATAAACCACTTAACTGTAAGTATGGTCTGTGAGTTCTTTGTGACAATTGAAATGGATTATTGAACCCAACAGAGAACTAGAGAGTGTCCTAGGGATGGTGGTGAATGGTATCAGAATTGGGCAAAAGTTTGGACAGTGGAGGTTATATCTGATCTCCACTTCATGGGAATCAGTCTTGGGCTGATGGTTCTGATTGTGCTCTCTGCTCCTGAAGTTCAACAGGTTCAGATCCTACTATTACTACTGCTACCTATACCATTTCACAACCATGTAGTTGGAGAGATTACATTCTATCAGTTTAAAAGCCTGTTTAGCTCTGACATGTGCTTACCTTACTCTTCTTACTCAGAAGTAAAG